GCTTGCTTTCTCACTTTCCCTTTCTCTTTCTCGCTCACTCTGTCCTTCTCTAGTCAAATTTAAAAAGAAAGAAAGTTAAAATAATTCTTAAAAAGAAAAAACAAAAACAAGTGGCATGGTGGTTGGGGCACTGGACTCCTACGTGTCCGACCACAGTTCAAATCCTGGACTTGATGTCTTGCTTTCTCACTTTCTCTTTCTCTCTGGTGAAATTAAGTAATAATAGCAAATAAAAATTATATAAACAATTACTTTTTTAAAAAGAACTATTGGGGCCAGCAGGTGGCATGGTGGTTGTGGCGCTGGACTCCCACATGGCCGACTATGGTTCAAGTCCGGACCTGGCAGCACAAAAACAACAAATAAGTAGATAAATAATTGCTTAACAAAAAAAACGATTTATTTCATTGGATTTATTTATCAGGTTGTCCGGAAAGTCATGATGTATTGCTCTATGCAAAAATGTGTCATGACTTCCCAGACAACCCAGTATTTAAATTTGCTATAGGGCACATGTGCTCACCAGAGAGGGAGAGAGACAGAGAGAGAGAGGGAAAGTGAAAAAGCGAGCTGCTAGGTCCAGGACTCAAACCGCAACTGGCCACGTGGGAGTCCAGAGTCTCAACCACCACGCCACCTGTTGGCCCTGGTGAGAATTTATTAAGCAGGACTGACCAGGTATGTGAATGACCTGCCCTCGGCAATCATTTACTTATTCCTCAAGTGAAAACCCTCTTCTCCACTTCACAGGGCTGACCTGCGACTGAGGACTGTCGGAGAAGCTTCTGAGAAGCGAAAGCCCTTCCCAAGTGTGCATTACTAAGGGGCTGAGCTGGCCCACATTCCTTCGTCTTGGAGAAGAGGGGGGCCGAGGGCCTGGAGCCCATGACAAACAACTCTGCTCTAAGGAGGCAGTGCAGCCTCTGGCCAGGTGTCCATTAACCCACCAAGTACCGGACAAATCAGAGTCCAGAGGCTGGTTCTGAAAGCAGAACTAACAGGTGAAAACACAGAGGGCACTACAAGACTACGGTTCCTGTGGTTTGTAAAAAAGAAACTTTATAAAGGACATAGGATGGGGGCCAGCAGGTGGCCTGATGGTTACAGGCGCTGGACTCCCACAGGACCGACTATGGTTCAAGTCTGGACCTGGTGGCTTGCTTCCTCTTTCTCTCTCTGTCCCTCCCTGGTCAAATTAAAATAAATAACATCAGTTGATTCTGCGGAGCCCCTTCCTTCCTAAGTGCTAAGTAGCCTACAGCCTGTCTGCATAGTCCTGTGAGGGGACCATACATCTTAGCCTTATAAATTCATCAACTTGGAGCCAGCAGGTGGCATGGTGTTTGAGGTGTTGGACTTACTACATGGCTGACTGTGGATGGAGTCCCGGACCTGGTGGCTGGCTTTCTTTTCTCCCTCCCTTCTCTGTCTCTCTGGGGTGAGTGCATGTGCTCTACGGCAAACTAAATAATCATAAATAAATAAAGTTAAAATAAGTCTTTTTAAAAAATTCATAAACTCGGGGCCAATAGTTAGCGTAATGGCTATGTTGCTGGACTCCCATCTAGTTGACCGCAGTTCGAGTCCCGGACCCAGTGGCTTAAACTCACGCCGGGCACGTGTGCATGCGTGCCCAAGATCCCGAGAGGAAAATGGAGGAGAAGAGATTGCGGTGTGGCCATTCCCCTGGGGGGTGATTTCTCGCTTTGTCTCTGTCTCTCTTTCTGGCAAGCGCATGCACCCTATAGCAAAACCTCTCCAAAAGAAAAAAAAAATCATCTACCTATTTCCCAGAGTCTAGCACATTGTAGGGGCTCAATAAGTATCTGTTGACTTTTATATCAATCAACCCAAAGATTGGTTACTACTGAGTTTCTATTATAAATGGGGAACAGAGCGAAACCTAAGGCAAAGCCCCCAGGCTCAATGAGTTTACAACTACATTGGGAGGTGGGGGCTTAGGGAGAGAAGCCCTACCCATAAAGATAACTACTGAAGGGGAGGCCAGCAGGTGGCGTGGTGCTTACGAGTGCTGGACTCCCACATGGCCAACCATACATGGTTCACGTCCTGGACCTGGTGGCTTGCTTTCTCACTTTCTTTCTCGCTCTGTCTCTCTCTGGTCAAATCAAAATAAATAGATAGATAGATAAACCCCTTCCCCACTCTCCTTTGGGCATGCACGTGTAAGTGCCCAGTGTGATCTTCAAGTGCTGGGTCTATGCGTAGTTGGCCACGTGGGAGTCCAGTGCCCTTAACCACCACGCCAACTGCTGGCCCAATCAGGAACATTTAAGCCAGGAAAATACACAGTAAGAGTGGAGACTGAGAATGATCACACTGTGGTACAGAAGATGGGTTAGAGGGCAAGCAGATAGTATTGAGGTTAAGGTGCCAGATTCCCACATAACTGACCAGGGTTCAAATCCCAGACCTGGTGGCTTAAAAAAAAAAAATCACACTTGGCACATGTGTGTGCACGAGCCCAAAATCCCAAAAGAAGGTGGAGGAGATGGGATTGCGGCATGGCCACTGCCCCCTGGAAGAGATTTTTCATTTTCCCTCTCTCTGGCAAGTGCATGTGCCGTATAGCAAAAACCTTAAAAAAAAAAAAAAAAGGGTTGGAAAGGCAAGGATGGGGCCAGCAGATGGCATGGGGGGTAGGGGGCT